TTTTCAGCGTATTATTGATGATTTTATCGCATATAGGACATGCTAGAAGTAGGTAACAAGTAACACCCCAAGCTTTCAACTGCGAAAGTTAACTTGATTGATTGTATTTGTTTTGCAGACAATTTTCTTAAAACCATACACGAGACGGTTCTCTGTCAATTCAAATGTGTACATTATCTAGTTTAGATAAAGTGTACATAGCATTTGAATTTACAGTAATGCTTTGCAATTGTGAAGCAATGAAAACACGCTGAAAAGCATAGCTTTGCAATAGCAAAGCATCACTCAGTAATTGCAAAGTAATGCTTCGTAGTTACAAAGGATCGAAATACTTCGCCTGCAAAGCATTGCTTTGCAGGAATTCAACAGTGGAAATGAACCTAGGCGGTAATTAGGGAGTTAGTGATCGTCGCGAAAGTACGTGCGTTTTTCTCAGATTAATTCAGCAAATTACGGGAGCTAGGCGCCTGCGAGACTCGGGGTAGGCCAACCCGCAGTGCACGTATGCACAGCTGGCAAGATGTTGCCTACCCACCGGGCGCCATGAGGGCTTGCACGGGCGTATTCTGGATATAATCGAGGTCATTTATATCGAATTTATAAATAAGAATGATAAAAAAGAAGAAAAAATCTATCAGGTCCCGGTTCTGATTTCCTAATTTCTCAGAACACGAAGAGCCCGAAGCGTCATCAGCTGAGGATAAGAAATGCATCAGCAGCTCTATCGGTTGCCAAATCAGATACCACAGCAAAAGTTTCGCTGCTGGGCTCCTCTGAAAACTCAACTGCGTACATTATATGCTGATATATCAGCAATCATCAATGCAATGATTGCTGATATATTCACTGTAAACGGCGAAATGATGAATGTTTTTCGCATACAAACCCACGTCATTACCCCGTTTGTGTGGAATATTTCTTAAACGAACTTTCATTTTCGATTCAACCACTACCAGAAGCCTCGTAAAATTGCGTTTCGAACGAGCATAAATATGACTCATAGTTCGCTAACTCGTGCAAGAAAGTAAACGACTTTTATCAGCGTTCCTGTAAAAGTGTTGATCGAGATCAGAACCCCATCATATTTACGCTCGTTCGAACAGCAATTTAAGGAGCTCTTCTGATGGTTGAATCGAAGAAAATGAAATTAAAGAGTTCGTTTAAGAAACATTCCACACAAACGGGGTAATAACGTGCACGTTGCATGCGTTATCTGTATGCGTCTAACATCCACTATATTCCGCCGTTTACAGTGGATATATCAGCAATCATGCCATGTACACTGATCCCATCAGCATACACTGTACACTGTTGAGTTTTCAGAGCTGCTTAGAAAAGTTGTCTGAGTGGTCGACTCAGGCGGTCCCAGCTACAGCTAATAATCAGGTGGTTCAACTCGCCAGTCGCCGCCGCCGCCGTCGCGCCGCCGCCCCGTCCCGCGCATTTCTTTCCACCTGTCAATCGGGTCGCGCAGCCTCAAGTGCGAGACCGAGACAAGGTCAATGTCTCGATGTTATCGGTCGCGACGCAAAACGCCCCCCTCCTCTCCCTAATTCAAGATGCGGCGCGACGAGGCGGACGAGGCTCAGGCCGTTCAATATCGCGTTCAATAAAGAATGAGCCGGGAGGACGGGCGGGGCTGCGCGGGGGAGAGAGGGGGCGGGAGCGGCCCGGAAGTAAGCGATCACATACCAGCGGGCTGCGACATGCGCCACACCAGAGACCGCAGGGACATGTAGTGCAGTTAGCGATATGCGACAAGTGATTTTCTATACTATTACACGCCGGTTTCATCGGCAGCAGCAGCGCTAGCGACTTAATGCATCTCAAGTGAGGCGATTTCACGAATCTTCAAACTGACTCTTCGCTGAAACTTAGGTTCAAGTTCTAGAGATCTTTGTCATTAAAAAGGCACAAGTCGGTCAAATATTGTCTCTCCTGAGGCGATGAAGTCTTTAAAAAGTCGCTTCCAGCGTTGAAATTTCGTTGCATTTGCATAACGCTTATCGCTGACTCCAGGAGGACGGTACAAAACTATGAGCACACTGTAAGAAATTTTCAGGGCAAAATTGCGCAGGTGGATGAGTAAACGCCCCTTTCCCTGGCCGCAATGAGTAAATTTCCCGGTCCAATTACTGACTAATTTCGCTATCCATAGCATGGGAAATTTCCATGCACATGGATAGGGGAAAAGCTTTTGCGTATCCACATGGTAATCTTCCATTTGTATAAATTCTAGACGTTTGCGTATCCAAGTGGTAATTTTAATTGTGGATAGGTAAGACCGCATGTCCCTATCCACATGGTAAATTTGCACGGGCAAAAGTAGATCAGTTAGTAAGAAGAAAAAAATGACGATATGCAGGTTCCCAACCTGTTGGCGTTCCCCTCTCAACTGCTAAGAGCGGCTGGTGCTTGCCGATATACCGAAATATCTGTTGGACCTGATGGGAGTAGAACCCGTAACCTCCGAGCTCGGGAGCGCGCACGCTACCCCTCACCCATCGCCTACCTCTGGGAGGGGACGCGCCGATAGATGATGTCTTCTCAAAGGAACGAGGTCTGCTTACATCTATAGATTGTCTTTGCTTTCAACGGTGACCAAATGGACGACACGGACTTTCATCTAAGACCCACGACTCGCTCTTGCATTCGATAGTCTGCCGCGGGTCAGGAATCGTATGGCATGTAAACACCAATCCAGTGCTTCCTAAAATTACCATTTGGATGTGTAACTGGCATCTCCCGAAGCACCCAGCAATTTTCGACATCATATGAAATGTAAATTTACCATGTGGACATGTAAGTTGCCATGTGGATATGTAAACTACCAAAAAAAGTTCAAAAAGTAATTTTCTCTGAACATACGTAAATTTTACCAGTTATTGTGCAAATAACTTTACCGAGCGGGTGGAGAGTAAAGATTTCCCAGTCCATTGATTGGCAACATAGTTTTCAATGCCACGGGGTGAAATTTACCCACTACTTGACGGATAAAATTACGCCCGTTTTTTTACAGTGCAAGCGGGCCGCGTCCCCCTCGACGCCATGCCACCCCCCAAGAGGAAGGCCGCGGGCCCCGGAGTCCATGGCGACCGAAAAAAAGAGAGTGGCCCCAGGGAGGGGCAAGTTCAGCTTGCGGAGCTTGGAGAGGGGGCATACTGCCCTATAGAGAGAGAGCGAGTGAGAACTGTGCGGAACAGGAAGGAAAACAAGTTGAAAAGAGAAAGAGGTACGTGGGGAAGGTAGCGAAAGGGGGGGGGGGGGCAGAAGTGCCAGCCCAGCCAGGCCGTACCCGCCGCGGGGAACCGGGCCGGATCGATCCTACGCGGTCCATATGTTGACGAAACAAACCCGCCCGGCTGGGCTGCAGGCAGCTGCAGGGCCAGCCAAGGGTGGCGCCACGGGGGCTCGTCGCGGCAGCTGCAGGAACTCCCGGGGGAGCCGTGCAGCACGAACGCAGTCCCCCACCAACGGGGACACCAGCGAGGTGACCCAATTTGGCGACCCACCCCCACCCTTTCCTCTTCCTCGCCCTCGCTGCAAAGTTAAGCGATCGGCCAATCATTTCAATATGCATTCAAACCGCAGTGCATGTGCATGTCTCTCTCTCTCCGTTGCACCGCGCCACTGCCGCTGTTTGGCGCGAGAGAGATAAAGAGAGAGACAGAGAGACAGACAGAGACAGAGACAGAGAGACAGAGGGAGACAGAGAGAGGGAGACAGAGACAGAGGGAGACAGAGACATGGAGACAGAGATATGTCTCTCTGCAGAGAGAGGCGACACGCGCCGCCTCCACTATCCTCCGCGGCCAGGCTGCGGCCAGGCTGCGGCCAGCTGGGCTCCTTGCCCTGCCCTGCCCCGCCAGGCCTGCCGTGCGGTCGCCCGCTGGCCTGGCCTGGCCTCGCCCGCTGGTTTCACTTGGGTTTCACTGTAGGAGAGCCCGAAATAGCCACGCGCCTGTGCTGCGCGGCGTGGCGCGGCGCGGCGCGGCGCGGGAAGGCTGCAGGGCCCCGCCGTCGTATCAGCCGGCCGCGCCCGCCCCGCACCCCGCCCACGCCGCGCGGCACGCCCACCGATAAGGGCCTGAGCCACGCACCGCTGCACCAGCGCGTCGTCCGGGCCCCGCCGACCTGGACCTGGAGACACGCCTGGTGCCAGCGCAGCGGCCACCTCCCGCGCCCCCACGCCCATGGCGTCCTCCGGGCCTCGGCCACACCGGGGGCCGCGCGGGAATGCCATGGCCGCCGCCGAGGACCTCCCCCCGACGCGTTCCCGCCAACGCAACGTAGTATCCCTCCGCCGACCGGAAGCCCCTACCCGCGCGCGCCCCACAGCGCGCTCTCCCTGCCGCAGCGCGGCGCAGCGGGCGCAGCGCAGCCAGCGCGGGCAGGGGGCGGCAGGGAGGGACAGAGGGACGGCCCACCTCTGCATGACGGTGGTGCAGCCGAGGGGGAGGCGGCGGGGCCAGCGTCAGCTGACTGGCGGGGCGGGCGGTGCAGCTGGGGCTGGGGCCGTTACAAGCACAGCGCGCACAGCGCATGCAGGCGGGAGAGGAGGAGAGGCGGCAGCGCGGCCCGCGCGGCGCTTGTCAGGGGAATCAGCTGATCGAGCAGCCCGGCCAGTGTACTCAGTTTTCACCTGCACACGGCGTTCGATCCCGACCCGCCAAGGTCACGCCACACCACGCCCGCGGGCTCTGGTGCAGTGACGGCGGTGACGGCGATGCGCGTCGCCTTAGCACGTCGCGCACCTCGCCGACGGTTGAGCCAGGTCGAGGCAAAGGCGCGGGAGAAGAGAAAGGTTTCGAACCCGGACAAGCACACGGCTCATCGTGCCCAGCGAGGCGTGGCGTGGAGGTAGAGGGGGAAGGGGGTGAGAGGGAGGGGGAGCGGCGCGTGCCCCGCCTGATTGATCCGTTCATCTTTCACACCGCTCGCTGGCTGAGAACAGGGTCGCATGCCTTTCACAAAAAGCAGGAGCAAGCAAATGCACTCACCGGAATCAAAATCGGAGGTGCCGACGTCCATGCCTCCCTGACTGTATTTACCTGCAGGGCAAGAAAGAAAACATGTCAATAAAATGTGTAAGAAATAGTTGACAGTTCACTCACAGTGCTTAAATTTTAAATTCAAAGTCAATTAATATGATTAGACCAAGTTAACACAGGGGGAAAAAAAAGAACTTTACGAAAAATTCACTGGAAGCAGCAGTAACATGGAAATCCACAGAGCAGGTCAAGTAAAAGTTAAAATCACAGAGCGGAAACTTAAAATGATTCATGGAGGCCGCCTTGACAGCTTGATAGCAACACAGACCAAACAATCACAAGAACCAAGACTTGTTCAAAACGCACTCTGTTTCCTCATTATACAAAGTGAACTTACAATATATTTGATACTTAAAGAAATTTAAAACATGGATTTTCAACAGAAAGTTTTTTGAAGGAGTCAACTTTTCAACCCGAAGTAGATTGACCTTGAGCACTTGATAGCTTAGTTCTACTACAATTGCTGTTGCCATGATATATTTGGCATATAAGAAGCATATGCTGTTTTTCCTCAGTTCCATCCATGACCATGAGACTCATTGAGCTAATTAGACTATGTGTAAACAATAGTCACAAAATAACAAAACAATACAAAAGACAGTTTGTAGATTAAAAATTATTGAATAGAATAAAGAAGAGAAGTAGCAGCAGTTATTCTGCTTCTATCATGCATAGTTCTTCTTTTATGTTATAAATTGCATATTAAAATAGAGATCAATATTTTGAAAAAGAGAGAATGTTTATAGCTGTCAAATGAGTCTCAAGATTCCAGCCCTACTGATAGGAAAACAACCCTAGAAAGTGGCAGATCTAAGAAGTATCCAAACAAGGGAATGCAAGCCTGTGGCATACTTAAGGGCCTCTGTCCCTTGAACTGTAAGGGGCTTAACATCAATGTCAGTAGACCCTCTCTTAACCTAGGTCAGGATCTCTTCTTGGAGACACAACAGGGGAGCCAGGCCAAAAAGATGTCACTTGTTTGACGAGCTGAAACCATAGGCACTTTTACGACGCAAATTGTGGCTGAAAGTGTGTGATGAAGGGCTAATTCTTTCTGCCTCAGATGGGATAACCTCGGGTCTACCCACGATCGACGACCCCCGTACTTGTCACAGAGATAACCAGGGAGTGACCCGCCCAACTCTTCACACTATGACACGAATCCCATTGAAATTTGGCATTGTCCATGAGAACAAATGTAAACTACTCTTGAAATGACAGTAGAAATTGTCAGATATGTGGGTTGGTTGCTTGACGCGCCATCTTGGACTGACTTGGCAGGAAGATCGTCGCACTCGGTGAGCCAAATAACACCACCTACACAACTCTCCACCTTTACCAAAGAGCAGAAAGGTACAGAATGACAGTCTACATCTGCAATGGGCACAAATCATTTCTTACTTTGACCCTGAGGCTGGTCATCTCCACTCTCGCGGTCCGACATATCCTTCTCCTGAGAAGCGATTTAACCCTCGTTTTCACTCCGTCAGAATTTGTTCGTGCGCCCAATGCCCGGAAGTACGTTCATCAGCGCCCCCCAGCGTCAAGTAGTTCCCTCCTCTATTCCTCGTTGCAGAACTATCCAACGCAAGGTCTCGTCGGAGAGCCGATAGAACGACACGGTAAAACAACCAATATTCTTTTCAATTCGAGTTAAACAGAATGGTGTCACCGGACAACTTCTACTCTCCAATGAAAAGAAAGTCCGAAGGAAGTGACGTCGGAGGCTTCTGCTACTTGCAGGTGTGGTAGAAACAGAGGCGCGACCACCGCAACCCCCACCCACCCATTGATGAGGTATGAGAATTTTATACAACAAGTATGTAAAACAGGGCTGTTTAGTGTGTGTAATAAATTGTTGACGGTATGGTCAAAATTCTGCACTGACGAACTATTTTACCTCATCTTCGTTACCGAAACTTGGAACTAAATTGGTAAATAGTGGGTGACACTACGATGACGCACTGAATTCAAAGATTTTCTGACCGCGGTATGTATTCAAATGTTGGCAGCTCTCTAATGTCTGTTGGTGTACGTCTGTGTCTGTGGGAGTGTGTATGTATGTATGTGTGTGTGTACTCTTGTAATGTCAAAGTAGGTTGTCAACTTTTTGGAGTAAATAGACCGTTTACTGTGATTTATTTGCTATAAATTTGATTTCATGCCATAATTTTGTTCGTTGGGATAATGTGGACAACGTTTATCTGTCTGAACTAGTTAGTAGATTGAAATAATAAGCGATCTTGTGCACATGTTTCTGCTTGGGTTCCTATGCCCTGTTTCTAGCCCAGTTCTTGTTATTTTTAGATATCAGATGGATTGAGTGAGAACGTGGTTCGAAGAATACACTACTTCTCAAGATTCGCACGAATTTGCTGAAGTTTCCTTGTATCGTAAAGAATCTACTTAACAATGGAGGATATTTTTCACTGGTGTCGCGAAGGCAATGCCATGCAAGTCAGAGTTTGGTTGGATGACACTGAACATGATATGAATCAGGGGTAAGGAATTATTTTTCTACCGTTTCTCTTTGTTTTGCCGCAGGTAAACATGTAACTGCATAGATTTTATAAAGTGTTACACTCAATTTGCTGCTTTTGAATCTGCTGACTCTTATTGTGTAGGTGGTGTGTTCTATGGTCCCCATTTATGGCATTGGTGCCCCTCCCACTTACTTCCTGTCCCTTTTCTTAGAATTTTCTATACTTTCTTCCTTAGTCACTGAAACTTAACTTGATATCAATTGTACTCTTGCACTCTTTTGATTGTCTAGCCATAGAAATTGTATTTTCTGCAGTTTTAGTCGAATCATTAAATATAGTTTTTGTGAAACATTACCTATTTTCTCTTGTAATTGTTTCACATAGCAAAAAGTTATCTTTTTATTAATTGTTTGATGTTTAACTTTCCATAGAGACGATCATGGATTCAGTCCCTTACACTGGGCTTCAAAAGAGGGTCATTATAAAATCGCTGAACTTCTCATTCAACGTGGAGCTCGCATTAATGCCACAAACCGAGGTGATGATACTCCATTGCACCTTGCTGCTGCCCATGGTCACCGTGAAATTGTCCATATGGTATATCTCTTAAATGTGGTTTGAGTAGTCTTGTGTTATAGATTTCTTAATGTTCTCTAAAAATTTCTAATATTATTCTATCATGTTCTTTTTTTTTTTGAAGCTTTTGCGGAACAAGGCAGATATCAATTTTACCAATGAGCATGGGAATTCTCCGCTTCATTATGCTTGTTTCTGGGGCTACCCGACGCTAGCTGAAGAGCTTGTTGCTCAAGGAGCAGTGGTAGCTCTCGCAAACAAAGATGGTGACACTCCCCTTGATAAAGCGAGAGGGTCCCTTGCTAAAAGACTGCATGGTATGATATTTCGTCATTGTGTTGTAAAACTATCCTATAATATCCTATAATACCTATCCTATAATATTACTCCATTCCTTTTTTCCCAGAAATGGCAGTTGAAATGGGACAAGATTTAAAGAAAATTACTTTCAAGGACCAAAGCTGGCTGGGGTTGAAAACTAGGAGCCGTAAGTTCCACACAGTTGTATTTTTTACTTGAACTCCTGGGAAACTTGAAAGTGATTTCCAATCTGATCCAAATACTTTCCTTCAGGTGATGCTACTCTTTCCCGCCACAAGGGCATAAATATCAATGACCTGCACCTTCAGATTCAGATTGCTACATCACCTTCTGGTATCACATGGAGAGGCCGCTGGCAGAAAAATGACATTGTTGCCAAGATTCTATCTGTTGGGGATTGTAATGCGCGTGTATCAAGGGACTTTAATGAAGAGTTTCCTAAGCTGAGGTATACATCTTTATACATATCTGAGATTTGATTTCCCTGCAATTTTATACCTTTCAAATATTTAATGTTCTTTCAGAATTTTCTCCCATCCTAATGTTTTGCCAGTTATTGGGTGTTGTAACTCACCACCAAACCTTGTGGTTATTAATCAACACATGCCATGGGGATCACTGTACACTCTTTTACATGAAGGCACAGGGGTTGTTGTGGACACAGCTGCAGCACTTCGTCTTGCAGTTGATGTTGCACGAGGTATGGCGTTTTTGCACAGCTTAGAACGCATCATACCACAATATCATCTTAACAGCAGGCATGTTATGGTATGTTGTTGTTCATATTTGATTACCTTGGAAAAAGTCTCTATTTCCTTTCTATATTTATATTTATCTATATTTATGTAGATTGATGAGGACCTTACTGCACGGATAAACATGGCAGATGCTAAATTTTCTTTTCAAGAAAAAGGACGTATTTATCAACCAGCATGGATGTCTCCTGAAGGTAAACTTATTGACCAATGCAACTAATTATGTATCTACATCAGTTTTCATTACAAAGAATGAATCTAAGTTATTTTATTATTGAATAGCTCTTCAGAAAAAACCTAAGGACCGCAATTGGGAGGCCTGTGATATGTGGAGCTATGCTGTTCTGTTGTGGGAATTAGCAACACGGGAGGTTCCCTTTGCTGACTTGTCGCCCATGGAAACAGGGATGAAGGTAATCTTCATTTCTATGAAACAAAAATTCTCCAGATAAGTTGCTGATTCAGTCATAATCACTACTTCCTTACCATTCCAGATTGCATTGGAAGGATTGCGTATAACCATTCCTCCTGGAATTTCACAACACATGGCCAAACTGATTCGTATCTGCATGAATGAAGATCCTGGTAAACGACCTACTTTTGATATGGTTCTGCCAATTTTAGAGAAAATGAAGCGATAAACATGGCTCCATCTTTTTAATAGTTTTCCTTGCCACACGTCTTTGTAACTTCCTTCATCTTTTTCATAACTTCATCTTAAACATTTCATTGACAATATAACTGCCAGTTCCTTTTGTTTATATGTAACATTTGTCTCTATTTTGTTGTGAATAACTGAACTACTGCAAAGGATTGCAAATGTAACAATGGTTACATTTTGTTGATGTTCAACTAAAGGGTTGCAAAACTGGAAAATTTTAGAGGGCTATTTTTTTTATGAAATAGAAACTTTGTTGTATTTCTTATGAACTCTTTGTATACTACATTTCAGGTGCTTCATTTTTTATTTTACCAAGGTTATTTAAATCTTACTCATGAAATTTTAAATATTTTGGCGGAACAAAGCCCTATGAGCAGGCTTGAAGTCAGTATTTATTTTTGTATTCCAAGAACACTATTTGTTCTTGCACCTCACAGAGGATGTTAAACTAAATTTGTCTAGTCTGACGTGTTCTATCTCTAGATCACAGTGTGTTTAGGTATAGATTTTTGCCTGATATTTTCACTTAGATGGAGAAGACATTTAGCAGGAATATTTAAAAGATATGTCCTGTCTTTAAAAAAAAATAAGATATAGTTTTTTTAACTTAAATGCCTTTAACAGGGTTCAAAATCAAGTATCCTCTTTTCCTCTCCAACTTCAGTGCATTGTATTTGCTTTAATGTTTTTCAATTCGTGTATTATTGTTTTACTTTACCCTTAGGTATGTAAACACTTTAATAGATTGTATTCAAAGCATTTCATAAGCTTTATTTTTCCATAGTTCAAAATTTTGTCCTTGTTCTATCAAATAATATATGATGTAACTGCTTTAATAATTTTTATTAGATGGTAGTGGCCTAACATTCAGTATCTTTTTGTATCAGTTATCTCTTTTTTAATTTTCTTGTTGCACATTTGTGGATGAGTTAATAGTCATTTTCTATTACTTTGGGACAGGTGTTTATCTCCACCTTCCTAGGTTAAGCTTGACTGATTTTGGTCAAGTGACTCTTTGGGTTACACCCTTATGGATTGGCATGGCTTGCTATGCTTTCTTCAGCTAAAGATATGTACTGTAGTAATATGAGAAGCTTCTATTGAATATAAAATATAGTCAATTCCCGTTAGTTCGATTCGGCTGTGACCATGGGGCCAAAACTTTATAACGGAAGTTCTACTATCGCATAGCATCTGAAAGCACATAAATGACCTGAGACCGCGGAAAAAATCGCTTCAACGGGGTAATCGTTGTCCAGGGATCGCACTAACGAGAATTGACGATTGTTTAGACCTCCATTTTTCACATAATGTTTATTTAATCTCATATTCACCTATGGCATCTTTTTTTTCTGGCTGTTAATTTGATTCAATGGTGGTAAAGGAGATTCTGTGTACAACAACGGCAGCATTGTTCTTTGGCTGTCAACTTAGTCAGCAGCTCCTTTTGCTCCCCCAATCATGTACTTATGTTTTTTAAAGGATTGTTTTTAACACTGTCAACAAAATTAAATTGGTATGAAATCTGTTGTCTTCCTGTACATAAGCAGTCTTAAGCTTTCTAGACTTAAAAATGTTGGTGCTGCTTGCTTATTAACTATGAGCTTGATAAATATTTGTTTAGATGCTAATACAAGATGTTTTTGTACAGTTTGTTTATGTATAGTATTTACTTGTCACTAATATGAATTGTCTATGAGGACAAATATTTTGATAGATCTGATGTGTTCACTTTTTGATCACTATTTTGTACAAATGTATTACCATGTTTTTACACCTTTTGTGGGCTTTCTTCTATGTACTTAGTTTTTGTGCACAAAGAAAGAGGGGAATGTTAACAACAATTCCATTGCATCTAGCATTGAAGAGTCTGTTTGAAAGAAGTCCAAAGTTTTAGTAACACTAAGTAGAGGACCAATTACAAATGAGAGCGGCAAGGTTTGCCTTTATTATGTATAATTTCTAGTGATGGGTCGAACCCCAAATTTGTAAACCGAACCGAACCGAACCGAACCTCAACATCAAAAAAGCGAACCGAACCCGAACCGAACCAAGGTCCACCGAACCTTGAACGAACCTAGTAAATCTGAAACGAACCGAACCCGAACCTTCTAAATTTAAGCGCAAAATCAGGATGAAGGAGACGAGGAGAGTTAGCTCAACGATTTACTTTTAAAATTGCATTTATTTAACATTTTTGACAAATATTATATATTATTATTGAATTAAATATTCTTTTGCTTTTAGCAAGTTACAAATTCAAAATCAAAGGTAGGGAGGAACAGAAATAATAAATAATAATTCTGAAGTATAAAGTCAAGATGTTTAAGTCAAATTGCAATGTAGGAAAACAAGAATTTTGACAGTGAGAGGCTTGAGATTTGCCCGTCTTACTGTAACAATCTGCCCTGCCTTAGAAAATTCCCTCTCACTGGTCAAGGAGGAGGCAGGAATTCCTAGGTACTTCAGGGCAAGCTTGAAAAGATTAGGAAACAAGTCCTTGTTGGCTCTCCACCAAGCATAGGCATCAGCAGTTGGATCGATTAGCTCCAAATTTAAGTATTTGTCAATTTCTTCCTGAATGGGGTCTACTCTAACTCTTCCTTGAGCTGGATTCCTTTCTGCTCTGCTTTTACTTTTAAGTATATTCCAAATTGATCCTTTATCTTGTGCACTTTCTTCTTCCACTTCTGGTGTTGGCTCTGGTTCTTCATGAGCTGCCCTTCTTGCTAGTGAACTTGTAGCCTGTCTTAGGATATTTTTTACATTGACTGTTTGTCCAGTCTCAAACATGGCCAATTTAAATCTAGGATCAAGCACAGTAGCAAGGAGGTAGTGGTTTTCATGTTCAAGCGGACCAAATCTTGAACGTAAGTGTCTCAGCAATGCACTCTTTAATTTCCTGGCAAAAGTTGATGTTTGCATTGAGGTGCTCAAGGTCTGCTGAATGGAGGAGACAATAGGAAGCACCATGGACAGAGTGGGGCAATCTTCCCTCCCTAGCTCCAGAGTAGCTTCATACACTGGGGCTAAAACTGTGCTCAGGTCCCCTATTTTCTCCCAGTCATCATTAGTAAGATCAACAGATTTTTTTCCAATTTTTCCTACTTTTGGTAGATCTACACACAGGGCTTCTTTTTGTTCCTTTAATCTGTCTAGCATCAAGTAGGTGCTGTTCCATCTTGTGTCCACAGATTGAATTAATTCATGTTCTTTCAACCCTAATCTCTTTTGAACCTGTTGCAATCTTTCATGGGATTTGTTGCTGTGATTATAGTGGCCAACAATTAGACGACACTTACTAAGAAGGGTTTCAATTTCCTGGTCTGCTTCTATCATGGAGTCGTCCACTACAGTTTGTAGCATGTGAACAGCACATTTGATAGGAACAACATTTTTGTTGCTAAATGCTGAAGTCATATTTCGAGCACTATCAGATACCACATAGATATCTTTTAAAACATCTTCTATGTCAATTCCCCAGTCTGCAGTCATTTCTTTCACTTTCTCATAAATAGTTTCACCACTGTGTTCACCAGGGAAATGGTTGCACTCCAAGGTAAAGTTTTTCGGAAAACCTTCTTTGTTTGCATACTGAAGCGTTAAAGATAGATATCCTTCCTTGCTCCTGGAAGACCAACCATCAACAGTAAAAGATAAACTAGTTATTGCACTTAAGTCACCATCAATCTCTTCTTGGATTTTTCCTCTTATCTCTTGATAAAGATCAGGTAGCCCTTTACCTGAAAGCCACTTCCTAGAGGGAAGGACATACCTAGGTTCGAGCAAATTAATAAGGGCCCTAAACCCTTTATCTTCAACAATACTAATGGGTTGGTAATCTAGAGCAATCATTTCTAGAATTTTACGAGTAATTTTCTTAGCTTGCTTGTTATCCCTTGGAAATGTAGTCACTTTTTTGAAAGCGTCAGTTATTGATGGTTGGCCCTTTAACTTCTTAAATTTTCCCTTAGACCTTTTAGCAATAGCAAGTTTTTTTTTCTCCTGCTCTTTTGTGTATTCATTATATAATTTCTTATGCCAGCGTTCTAGATGTCTTGATAAAGTTGTGGTTGTTTTGCCAGGCGTCTGAAGTATCCTCGAGCAAGTCTTACAGCGGGCTTCTTCTGTCGCTTCTAGCCTGGTGAAGTATTTATCCAGTAGTGATGTGCTGTCAGAACTTGAGGCTGCAGCGCCGGCGGCAGAAGCCCGTTCGCCCCCATCATTTTGTGAGTCACTGTTTTCAATCTCATGGCCACTTTCCCGGTTATCAGTATCACTTTCGCCATCACATTCCATGATATCATCTTCATTTTCGTTGCCATCATCACTCACTATTTCTTGTCTGGTTTGATTCCTATTGACATCGGGGGTCCCCTTGCTGGTGCTGGCCGCGGACCTCAGCGATCTCCCACTCATTCTGGACGTAAAAAGAAACTCGAAACTGTGACTAGGAACATAAATTAAAAGAATTCGCAAGAGATTTGTTAATTAAGGTTATAATTTACCTGTCAGTGATAGTTGTTGTTCTAAATCTAACCCCAATCGGCTTGCACCCTCTAGAACATGATGGTACGAAACACAACGACAGGTCGCATCTCGTCCTACCCCCACCCTTAATTTAACACAACCGCCCACCCTGCGCGATTGTCATTTGTCTAGCTTCGGCGGGTTCAGGTCGCTCTCTGATTGGTGGAACGTTTTCGGCGCGGTTTTCGTTTAGTCGGTCCGGTCCGAGGTTCGCTTTTCGAACCTCTATAAAAGCCGGTTCGTCAAGGTTCGCGAACCGAACCTTTTCCGGTCTCGAGGTTCGAAAAACGAACCGAACCGAACCCCCCCGGTTCGGTTCGGTTCGGTTCGGATTCCGAACCGTTCGACCCATCACTAATAATTTCTGTATGTGCTATTAGGGTATCCTTTTTTTTTTTTTTTTAAGGCAGTTAAGAAAATTGTTTGTTTTGAGGAAAAATGTTTGGAGTGGTGTTCTGATATTACCCTTATTGGTGTATCTCATACCTTACAATTCATGTGTCTTCATTGCACACACTGCCTGTAAATGATGCCTTTAGCATGCTCTCTTAATGTTTACTACCTCTAATGCTATTATTCAACATGCGGAAAGTGCCTTTTTTATTGGAGAAAACTAAGAATGGATCCAATACTTATAGGTATGAATGTTGAACACATAATTTTTTAAGTAGTTTTCCGATATGAAAGTACATTTGTATAATTACTTATCAAATTGTACTTGCCAAATTTGCCTTGCCCACAATGGATGCTGATCAGTGATGACATGGCAAACTCAACTACTGTATTTTACCGTTCAACACTGCTGATTAGCGCCATATGACAAATTATCTTGCCACTTATAGTTGTTTTAATACTCAATTGTTATTAGAGATGCTTTTGTATCATTACATTTGAGAATAGATATTGAAAATTCTTGTTAATTATTTTGCTAATACATACACTTTTATACTAAACTTTAATATTTGACTGGTTCTTCTAGCATAGTGATAAAATTAACTTTATACCATCATTTACTACTGTAAGTATTTTAATGTACATGTCCATTTCAACTGCTCAGTGTTTTAAATATTCATCAGAGGCTGGAATATTTCACATCTTCTTCACTAGCTCTGTGTTTTGAATTTATTTTTCAAATTTATTTTCACGGACGTTGTTGTTCATTTTGGATTTTACATTGCATTCTGCTGGTAATTGAGATTGTGTTGTCTCCATATTCCTCTTCCATTGTTATCATTTGTTTACCATTGAAGGTAATAAGTGGTCTATCTTATAAGCCATATATGATTTACATAAATTTAACTGAAGGTAACAGAGTAATTGAATGTGATTTTAACTGCCATTTGTATAGGTTATTTATGTTAACAATCGTTAGATGTTTAAATATTAAAAAGTCTAGTAAACTATTTAGTGCTTCTAATTAGTTTTATTTCCTTAACATTTCCCATTGATTAAATTATCATCTAGTTGTAAAACTAATCTTCAAAGAAAGGGTCTCTTTGAACTTGAAAGAATTAGAATCATGTTGTTGTGCCACTAAATTTGCCTTGAACTGTAGCCATTTCTTCCATTAATTTGAGTTCTTGCAACTTTTTGTCTAAATCTTGCCAACCTTGATTCCATTTGCCATAATGAACTGACAAAATGGATAAACCTCTCTCTACAACTTGAGTTGCATTTTTAAGTATTTGTCTGTTTAAAATTTCCCCAAAATATTAGTTGATTCATCCACATCTAAGATAAGTCCAACAAGTTAACAAAGAAAGGAGAGAAGGTGAACAACTCACTTTGGAGGAACTGTTTCCATTGTCCGAACATTGCAGAGCATTACGTCAGACAACTTCTGCAGTTCATTGGCTAATTCAATACTGTTGGCACCATACTGCTCTTCAATTGCTGGCAACATGAGTTCTAGGTATTCAACACTCTTACTGTAATTGCCTGAAAGATAATAATTCAACAAACAATTAATGAGACAAATACATCAATAAACAGGGCGAGTGCTGAGAGTGTTAAGCTACTTACCAAGTGTAGCATAACATTTAGCTAACATATCGTAGGTGGCTGAAAGGTCCTTGTTACCATGATACAATGCTCTTTCTTGAAGCTCTCTGCATCGATTTAAGTTGTTCAATGCAATTTGCATGTCTCCTTTATCCATTTCCTCACAACCTACCATAAATTTTAGGAATAAAAACCCTGCATTAGTTAATAAAGCATTCCGGTACAGCTGAAATGCAGAAGAATACGGGGAACAAGAAAACGGAAGTCACCATGTTAAAGCATAGTGATTTCCGTTTTCTTCTTCCCCGCATTCTTCTGCATTTCAGCTTTACCCGAATGCTTTATTCAGGAGTTATAAAAACTTAAAGTACAGTTAACAATACCCACCTTTCCGGAAAAGACTGAGGGCAGAGAATGCATCACCAACAAGACTGCTGATGGGCTGATGTGAACCGCAACCATCGCAAACCATTAAGTGAGAGTTGGGTAGCTCGTTTTTGAGTACTTTACTACCAGCTGGTTCGCGCCCTGGAGCTTCATTGAGTAAAGGCCCACTGCATGAAGAGCACCTCAAAGCCCAAAGACGTTCCTGAACTGGATCAAAAGACTCTCCAGGATTTGTAACACAAGCTGTACAATCACAATAGAAGAAGTACTGAGCTTGAAGAGCGGCTTGTCTTTCAGCTGTCCCCATCCTTTGAAAATGTGGGCCTGAATTTTAAATAATTGTACATTTACAATTTTTTTTTTTTTTAACTAAAGTCTATTGCATCATCCAAGGTCTGTTTTACACAATATGTACTTACCATAGCAATTAAAGACTTCCTCTCCTTTTAGTATATCGCGACTTGCCTTGACAATTAAAATTTCATTGAAAAAACTGCAATATAAATGGAATACCAATTTAACAATTCACTGCTGAATGTATGACATACTTAAGGCACTGGCAATTTTTTAAGGCTACATATGTAAAACAAAGTGAAACTGGAAAGAGAAACTAAATGTTTGGTTTTACCTATTTATAATATTGGGGTCACACGAATGATTCATCATACTGGCAGATGGATAAATAGCAGTGGCAATACGTTGCTGGCTTTCAGCAATCACTGTATTGGCACGGCCATCAGAAAATTCAGGTAAGCTTTTCTCACAATCCACTTTTGTGATAGCATGAGCATTACAGACTAGTTGGGCAATATGCCTTAAAAGTAGCCCACATACTTCAGTCAGGACATCACTCTCAACTTTTAGGCTTTTGGTGTCTTTCTTGAAGTAGTCAGTTTTATGCACTAGATATAATGCAAGCAGCTCGGCAGTCTAAGGGGAAAAAAATGCCCTTTTTAAGTAAGGTAAATTTACATTGATATTTAAACAGCTAGTAATTACTAACAAACTAAGACGGCGCACTTACAGCAGTGTATTGAAAAATATCATCCAAAGACATATCCTTTATGTGGGGTACTAGAGAATGAACAGCTGAATATGGATCTTGCAAACAATTAATTCCATCGGCCTGACTGTGCTGAGAAGTAGTATCAGCTTTGTGCAGAACTTGAGATGGTGGACCTGTTGCCAGAATTATCCTCAATCCTAGATGAGCCACACCAACTGCAGACATCAAAGACATTCCTCCACATTCCCAGTGGTGGTAGCTTGAAAGTGCTGCTGTTTCACATACATTGCCACAGAATAGAACATCAACACAATTAGGGCACCTAAAACCAAATATGAAAAGTAATCAACAATATAATAATTAAAATTTTATCATATTTTCTGACGATCATTTTATGATAATTTTGGTAATATATCACGTTTAGGTTGACAAGTATATATATGACTTACGGTATTGGTGCTACTAGGACTTTGGTGCAATGATGACAATGATCTTTGTAGTGATCAGGCAATACAACAAATGCATATGGCTTTTCTATGAACAGAACATCCCCCTGTTTCACATCTTGGTTTGTAATTACAAAGCGACCCTTGGTGTCAGCATACCTGAAAGTTAATGTTTTTGACATCGGAAAGGTGTTGGATGAAAGAATTAAATGCATCAATGGATTAGGTTTAGTCGCTTGTCTCATGATTGTACCTCAGTTCTAAAGCTGATGACACAGAGGGAAATGTGGAGTTAGTGCCGCATAGTAAAGTTGGCAAGCATTCCTCTGCTGTTTGTTTAGCTGATGGAACTGTTGTATTTTTACGCTTCTCATTTACTTCTGATAAGATTGAAAGTACCTCTTGTTTGACATCATTTATAGAGTCACAATTATAAGAAGGTTGATCCAATAGATTTTTTTCTGCTAAATTCAGAATTGACTCACATTTTTCCCAATTGCCTAGTTGAAGGTAACAGCGAGATTGCCGCAGCATCAATTTGGATCTTAATTTTTTAGGATATGGAAGGGATAGAGCCTTTTCTGCATCAATAGCACATTCCTTAAAGCATTAAATATAAACATCAAAATATTCGGTGAAACATTAGGGCCATAGACAAAACAAGCGGTATTTACCATAAATCTCTTCATGTGGAATAGAACAGCAGAACGATTCGCTAGCCCCAGGGCAAGCTCTTCACTACCGGGTGGAGCATATCGAATGCAGTCATTATAGAGTGACAAGCTAGCAGAATCATGGTGTCTCTTAAAAGCATTATTGCCTTGTGTACGATATTTTAATGAATCAGCAGTAGATTTCTTACCACTTACGCTGATACAACTCTCCAACCATTCCAACAAATAAGACCTGAAAAAGTAATTTCTTTTACAATTGAATGGAACATTGACAACTAGAGTGTTATATGGTGTGCACTAAATTACCTCAAGGTTTTGTGTTCCATAACATGCTTAGCTATTTCAAATTCATTCTTCTTTTCTAATCCATTCATCAAACTCCATTCTTTAGCCTTCTTTGTTAAACTATCTAAAACATAAGGCCACGGAGCTACTGCATCTGACATTTCGTTCGGGTTGCTTAAGTGGAAAAAATCATACGATAAGACATCTCACATGTAATCCGTGTAATCTCTCAAGTTCAAGTTCAATTAACTTTGATGTGTTTACATATACAAACGCATGCGGCGTGAGTGTGCGGAGGGGGGAAGGGGAGGGGAGGGGCAATTGCAGTTTTGCAGCTCACTCCTCAAACAGAGCGCCAACGTAGAAGAAAACAGGGGAAGGAAGGGCGAGCCCACCACGCTGAATTTGACTCAGGTAAGGTGTGAAATTAATGTAATCTTGTCAATAAGCGGTATTTGAGATGTAACGGTGATTGTGGCATCGATATCTGTTCAAGTTTTGTAATAATGCATGAGAATCAGGGAATGTAATCTAGTTTTTTCTGAGACATGTAAGATAGATCAACGTAAGATCCGTCGTTTAATACATTAAATTAAAGATGCAAGCGGTATAGCCCTCGGTTTACCCCAATCATTTCATCAGGTGCAACAGGCACAATTGTTGCCTCTTGTTGTTCTCATGACAATCTCCAAGGATCAGCATGGACTGTTGGCTACATTGCCGTTGGTTGAGTTCTTGAGCCGCTGCAAAGATGAAATAATTCTATTTTTACTTTGTAGGGAACGAGAAAATTACTATTGTGCACGAAAACAATAAATGCTTAACAACTCTTAGAGCATCTACTCAAGATTGCTTGAAACGCAAATCATCCTTCCACCAGAGAAAATGACTACCTCAGATGAACCTCCAGGTATGTGCAATCTGTTAGGCTATGTTCGTACAAATTTTTTAAAAAAAGGGTTGACAATTTCCCTTCCTTTTTTGGGGGGGACACGCATCCTTATTAAGTTTACCGACTTTGATTCTTCGGGCCGCATACCCCAACGAGTTAAGTGTCACCATGCGGCACGCCCCCGTACGCCCACGCGTGCCCTGGTGTGGCGCCCGTCATAACTTTTTACTATTCGTCTACTGTAAACAACTCTCCTCTCTTGCCTCTCTTTATTCATTCTTGGTGTCATTAAAAAAAGTCGAAGAAATCTGATCCGTTTCAAAGTATCTCCCTAACCTGTTATTTTCATAAATTTGTCAAGCTTTCCGAAGGATTTCAGTTTGGTATCATGTAGCCAACTCACACTGTCGATGATTAAGAACTCTACAATTATTTTACTTCCAGTACCAGACAGCCCAGCAGAGGTGTCTAAAGCATCCATCCGAAAAGAAACTTGGACCAAACTGCAAGCAGAGGGCATTACGACAAGTACTAATATCTTTCTAAATCGAATTCCAAACTTCAAAGGAATTGAAGATGCTGCTCAGCGCTTTTCTGAAACTGAAGAATTTCTGAAAGCCAAGTCAATTGCTATGAATGCTGACAAGGCACAGGAAAAAATTCAATACCATACAGTCCAAGTATGATCAAGTGAATTATTATTTCTGCTAATCTTAAGACATGCAATAGCATAAAATGTTCTTAATCTTTTTGCAGGCTAAGAAGACACTCATGATCCAGATCCCCCTTCTCATTCGCAAAGGGTATGTCAAGTCAATTAAAATACCCGATGATCTTCCTGAAGAAGAAATTCAAAAACTTACTTCTCGGGCTGCCATTGGTGTCTATGGGAAAACAGTTCAGCTCAGTGAAGACCGAAAAGTTGATATCGTTGTAATGGGATCAATTGCTGTGTCAAAGCAAGGTAACTTCAACTAATTGTTTCTGAATATTTGTCGCATTGTCAACATTTTTTGTCTTTACACTCATTTGAACTTTTACAGGTCAAAGAATAGGAAAGGGAGAAGGATTTGCTGATATTGAGTATGCAATGATGTTGAAGCTAGGAATGCTCTCACCAGAAACTATTGTTGTGACTACTGTTCACGATAGCCAGGTAAGAGTGTAAACTTGGCACTACCATCATGCTGAGGGTAGGTGAGTGTTAAAACATAATGATTAAAAGTTGCCATTGCCTCTGACAGGTTTACGACAGCTTACCTACTGAGCTCTTCAAGGAACATGATGTCTTTGTTGATTTAATTGTTACTCCAACCCAAGTGATTCGTGTAACCCCAAAACCAGATCGTTTTGAGAAATACGGGCTCAATTGGAGCCTTCTGTCAAGCCGTCGGCTGAGGATCTTCCCGATTTTGCGCCAACTTCGTGAGAAAGACGTCAGGTAAAGCAGAGTTCACCTCCTGAAGCACATCACAAGTACACATCACACACATCACAACATTGATTTGTGTCATATTCCCCACAGCGCCGGAGACACATCTGAGCTCAAGGAGGACTCTGATGTCGAGTATCGGCCACGCCGCCGCAGGTTCCCACCCAAGAACTTCCGGCCGCGTCCTCGTTCGAGCACAGGTGGCGAGGGAGATGTTGGCGACGAGCGAGAGGAGCGGACCCCGCGCCCGCGTCGGCCCCGTCGCCCCCGTCAGTCCAAGTCTGAGGGGGAGGAAGACGGTGCCCTGAGTGGAGGCGAGGGAACTCCACGCCGACCCCGCAGGCCCCGCAGATTCACGGGCTCCCGCCCGGGAGAGCGCAAGGACACTGAGGGGGAGGGAGACGGACAGGTACTGCATTCGTTGTTAGTTCTAGTGGTGATTTGAAAGGAAAACTGTGCAGTATTAATTTAAATCCTTGCGGGTATGGCAGGACGGGGAGTTCAAGCCGCGCCGCCACCTGCGCGGACGGCCCCGTGCCCCAGTGGACTTCAGCCTGCGGGTGAGCAACATTGCCTCGGACGTACGCGTCCGCGACCTGAAGAACGCCCTGGCCGAGTGCCATGTGAGGCCAGTCAACATCAAGTGGCGCGGACAGAACGGTTTCGCTCTCCTGCACTTCGCCAGGTATGTTCAATTAAAATTGGATGATATTTGCTTAATTCATCCTCATCCCATGTAGGTAGCGGTATTAAACTTACGTTTTTATTTCTCTGTGTCAGGACGGGTGGTCAAGCAGGGGATTCTCCCGCCAGCGTTGACAGCATTATGGCAGCTTTGCGTGACCTGAAAGTGTCTGCTGCGGAGGGTGATGGCGTAAATGTTGAGCCCATGAATGCTGTCACTCGAATTGAGGTTACTGATGAAATAACATCAGTATAAACATAGTGTGATGTAGTTTGCAGTTCTTAAAGCTGCAAATCATAAATTTCTTCCAGGCTTTTTTTTTTGTTTTGTTGTGTGGGGAGGGGGGGCTAATTTCTTTTGACACAGTTGGCAGCACATTTGTCCTACTTAGTTCAAAATATGTTTATTAGGGAAGCCTTCCCTAGCACGTTTACTGTGCTTCTTTTTATTTTGTGTCAGGTCACATTGACAATGCAGTGTTGCTTGCACTACATAACCATGGATGTACATTCATAGTTTTTTCTGGCTGCTTGTATAATTTTTGTTTTGTTTGATTTTCCAAAGAAGCTTGTACTTTTTTGTCATTTATTTTCTTTCTTTTTTTTGTGTTTTTGGCTGCCTATCAGTTTATTTTGAATTATAACTCTGACTTAATTAAATTCAGTGCCATTTTCTCTTGTTAATCCTGACAAATGTATGTAGATACTTTTCTTTTTTTAAAGTTATGGCACTGAGCAGATTCTAAATTTTGTTACAAGTTGTTTCAGTGAGCTTTCTCTGGGACACACTTAAGGCTGTTGATGTTATAGTACTTATAGGGAGTTAAGAACAAGTACCTTTTGCTTTATTCTTTGCTGTACTAAATTAGTTGTATGTGTTTTTGAAGTGTGTACTAACCCTTACCATATTCTTTACTTTAGTCTGTGATTTTTTGTTCTTACCAATCATCTAATCAGGCAAAATGCCATCAAAAAGTATTTATTTCATATTAAAGTATTGGGTTCAAGTCATACAAATATATATTAAGTATTTGTATCTGATCAAGTTCACTTATGAGGGTAATCTTAGTTTCCCTCTCTTGGTCAACTTGCTTGTGCCCTGTAAGAGATCTTTTCTAAATATTTATTTGAAAATTTATAGTATTTATATAAAAAAACAACATGTTTGTCTTGTCTTGCTTGTTTTGAAAAGGACTAATCTTTTATTAATATGTAATAGTAGTTTTGATGAAAATCAAGCTTATATTTTCTTGGGAAAATATTTAAGTAAAGCTTATGTCAAATAATTTTCTTACAAATGCAAGGTTTTATTGGTTGACATTCTACTACATTTACAATTAAATCTGTGCATTCAATTTTGTCTTTTGTTATAGTCTTCAAACTGATGATCTGTTCGCAAATCATTTAAAGACTCCCACTGAGGAGTGTGTTTGGTTTAACCTGATTTTTGTTTTCTACTTATTTCATTTGTGTGCGTGTGTGTCTGATTGTAAGGCTAGGGAGGCCAAGCATAATCATTGGTTTGGTTTGGTTGTAATAGTTACCTCTTATATTATTCTGGCAGCTATTCTTACAATTCCGTTTTTCTGTTCACATGGCACTTTTTGTATGAATGATTGTGTGTGTGCAACATTCCATTCCATTTTCCTCCTGTTACATAGTACTTTGTCCTGAAACATGGTCTGAGCAGAAAAGCAGCTCATGTTAAATGGTTGTTTCTTAAGATTTGCCCATCTCTTTTTGGTGCTCTTAACACATTTGCGGACCTTGATTTCTGTGTCGGTGATTTGTGCTTGCTAAAACATGTTACAGGCAGTGCAATTTTCTATCCCCATTGTGTCATGGCATTTAAAAATAGAAGAACCAAATTGGCCCAGCAGAAATTAGGGGAGGGGATTAAATATTTGTGTCGATAACTTTGAGAAAAAGGTAAGTCTTCCACCTACTACTCTAAAGCTCTTCCACATATTTTGAATTGCCAGTGAATCAGAACTGTGTATGCACTTTGGAAGTCAGTGTTTTTCTGTGGGATAATTTAAATTTTTGATGAAAAAGCTCAATGTATTTTTACATCACAGCAGTGTTAGTACTGATGATAAAAATGAATGATTGTACTGTTAAGTATATTTTGTGTAAGTTACATTGCAAACCGCCCAGTGATTACGCCAAATCTTTCAATTTCAAGTACAAAATTGTGGGTTAATGTAAATTAACATACATACAATAATATTTTTGCTTAAGGAAATAAAATAATGTATTTTTATTTTACTGCAAAAAGTATAAATTACTTTATTTTTGAGCTTTCATTGCATCCCTAATGTTTACTTTGACCTTTGCCAAAACCGTCTTGTACTCTTTTTGTATAAAATTCTAACTTTGCATAAATGTGTGAGTTTGAGGCATGAATAGGTGTTAAAACCGTTCTGAATTCCTATATTTTTGTACTATATATTGAAATTTCATATAGAACTGAATTTATCAAATCTGTCATTTTCCTTTGGGTTACTTTTCTTTTAGCTTTGTTTTAAATTGAGACATTGTGATCACAGGACTTCCACAATTGTTTATCAGTGAAAATTAAAGTTTGATTTATAAAGTACACTGTTATTCTTTATTAACACTAAGTTTTGTGCTTATTGGTAACTGTTGCTGTAACACTTTCATTAACTGACAACATAGCTTGGGTACCATTCCATCGGGTAAGTTCTGCCGAGTTGTTAATGCTTAAATGAAACTGAAGAATAACAATGACATATGTCACAATGACTGTAACAATCTGGAATGAACAACTGTGGATTAACACAAGACAGTGAGTTTTGACTTGGTTAGGATCATATGCACATACTGCTTTAAATGAGCTCCTTTGAAGTTCAAAATACCCGCTGATCGTCATAACTGGACTATTCCACCAAATAATCTCCAGAAATCTGTGGAGCTGAAAAGAGTTACGGATTACGGATGATTATTTAACAGTGAAGACATTTGGGCGTGCAGTTTACTGCCTACCATCATTCACTGCTTTCGTGCGAGGGAGTTCAGGTGGAGTTAAGTCTCATAAGGAACAGAGGAGAGGGTACGTTCTTCATCAGAAAATCAGCCAATCAAAGGCCTTCAAAGAACGTATCTATTTTCTCTTCTCATCACGATACTACATCCACCCGAAGTAACCCGCCAGTGATTGAGTGCAGTGTTAGGCATAAGCATGACAGAATGCACTGTGCGTGAACCGATCGCTTGGGTGCGACCAAGCTCTGTTGGGGTGCCAACTACCAACCTCGTGATAGCTCCTGTCGTCTCTGTAACGACAGTAGGACATCTGCAGAACGTTCATAAATCGACGACGGATCTTGAAAGAAAACAGCGAATGTACACAAATGAGCATAGCCCAGCATAGCCACACGCAAACCCCTATCGCTTCTCTGTGTATACTGCACCGTACCGTTGTCATCTCACTTTGGAACATAGGGATCATCCAAAAAGAACGTCCGTCTTTTGAGTTACGAAACTGCTGAGTTCAGCTTATGCAGCTCTAATAGCGCCTGTTAGGTAGGCAACATCTTGTGTGCAGGGCACGCGTGCACTGAGGGGTGGCCTATCCAGAGTCTCGCAGGCGCCCCGCTTCCGCCATTTTGTCGAATGGATCTGAGAAAAACGGACGTGCTTTTTGGACGATTGCATGGGGCCGAGGTCTAGACAGCCACTATACGATAAGCAAACCCTGCCCGCCCTCCCACCCGCTCGCAGCAAGCAGGCTGCAGCGCAGTACGATCACAGGGGACCACCCTCTGCAGGGTCATATGAGAACGCCCGCGTCACAGCCGGAACCCCCGCGTGGGCTCTCTCTGATATGACCCTGCAGTATGAAGGGCGGCAGAAATATACCCGCAAGAAAAGGTCACGATGTTTCTTTGCGGCCCCGAACCCGAAGGACCCCTACCACGTCAGCTGACCGGTGCGGGATCTCACAGAGGACGAACAGCAGGAAAAGGAACGGTACTCCGATAAGCCATATCATGCATCCCACCTGTCGAAACACAAAACGAGGAAACTCCAGTTCAGGGGACCAAAACAAGACAAACAAGTCAGGGCCTCTCCCTCACGACCTGTGCTTCGCCGGCCGTGAGCCTCTCCACTGTCTCATACGAGTGCAGCGTGGACAGGATGACGAGCAGCACCGTCACGAGCAGCATGGACACGGGCGTGACGATGAAGCCGCTGCTCAGGTTGGTTAGATGCGTCCAGGTGCGCCGATACTTCAGCACGCGCTCTGGTGTCAGGTCGGGGTTCGCCAGGTCCTGCGCACAGTCAGCGCCACTTCTCATTAAGAAAATATCTACAAAAATGGTGATTTCTGTTTTTTTAAATGTGTACTTTTTGAAGGGTAATAACTCAACATCGACTCACCTGTCGCAGCGCGCTGAGCAGGCCGCTGGCGAAGGTCCGCAGCCGCAGGCAGCAGATGGTGGGCACGGCCACGGCGAACGAGAGGAGAAAGTTGACGAAGACGTGCGGCAGGCCCTCGCTGACGTTCTTCTTCGTCTCGACGACCAGCGCCCACGTCAAGTACATCGTCGGGCCGAGGATGAACAGCCCCACCGTGGTGAACCACACGACGCGGCGCTGCGGTGTCCGGGGACGGGGGCGACCGGCGGGATCGGCGTGACCCGCGGGGTCTGGACGGCCCCACAAAACGTAGCCGAAGTCCTCCTGCAGCACGAGGGGTTAACTATGGCGTCCCCGTCCTCGCCCCCGCCCCCG